ACACATGGAGGAAGGAGGGGAGGGTATGAAATGGTAGAAGAAGCCTTAAAGGTGATTTTATCCCTAGGAAATGGAGGCCATTGAAAGTTTTCTAGCCGGAAGTGACATTGCCAGATTCCCATTCTGAAAAGCTTACTCAGGTTACAAAGTGGTTTGGAGAGGTGGAAGAATACTGTTGAAGAACCAGTTAGGGAACTGTTTTAATAAACTGGAAGGGGATAACTAGACCTCACTGCCTAAGGTGGTAGTAATCTTCCCATGGCTTTCAAGAAGAGAAGAAGTCCTAGTCTTGCTTAATTTTCACAATTATTCTGGGAGGAGCCTGAGAGATTTTTTTCCTTAAGGGTGGTATACTCACTCAGTAATGCCTCTCAAATTTTTACACCAAACTTCCCCTAATATTCAATGAAGAAGGAGACAGTTCTTCCAGGGATCAACATTTTTTCAGTCTCCTACTTTATCTAGAAAATTGTGTGAGTTTTGTATTCTCCAAAATTTATCTGTGCCTGATTTAATATAAAAAAATTACGTAGCATGTGAATGTACTTAATGTCACTGAACTATACACTTGGTTTAACAGTATGGTTTAAATGGTCTATTTTATGTATATTTTACTGCAATAAAAAACAGTTCTTCCAGGGATCAACATTTTTTCAGTCTCCTACTTTATCTAGAAAATTGTGTGAGTTTTGTATTCTCCAAAATTTATCTGTGCCTGATTTAATATTAAAAAATTACGTAGCATGTGAATGTATTTAATGTCACTGAACTATACACTTGGTTTAACATTATGGTTTAAGTGGTCTATTTTATGTATATTTTACTGCAATAAAAAAATTATTAGTTTACATTCTTAAATATTCCCACCAAATCCAAGTAAGTTTGTGCCCCAGGAACACATGCTATATTTATTCTGAGACACCTCCTCCCTCCTTCAGCATCTTATGCCCCAGGGGTTTGCCTCACATATAATGTTTTGTTTCTTAAATTCAGGTTTAATTTACATACCGTATTACCATCACCCCAGAAAGTTCCCTCCTGCCCCTTTCCACTCAGTCCCGTCCTCAAAGGCAACCTCTTCTGATTTTTCACACCATATATTAGTTGTGTCTATTCCTGCAGAATGTACCTGTTCTGTCTGGCATGCTCTTGTACCTTCTTATTTTTGAGAAGCATCTATTCGGGAAGTTGGTGACCTTCTCTCTTTTAGTTTGCAGCATTTAGTGTGATTTGCAATTTATGTACTTTGCTTTTCCTCTATGGTAGTAGAACGGGGTGAGATTTGGAGTACATGCTCTTCTGCTTACTGGCCCTGTTGCCTTGAGCAAATGACTTGGCTTTTTCAGACCTATTTTCTCATCTATAAATGGATCCGTTGTGAGGATTGAATAAGATAATATTTTGGGAAGGGCTTTGTCAGATATTTAAGCAGAATGGCAAGTATTTCAGTGTTAGTCCAGGAAGATGAAGGAAATAGATATGTGGCTACTCAACAGCCTCTGCTTGTCTTAACAGGTCACCTTTGGCTCT